TCAAACCATTTAATAGTTATTAATTCTATTTATATATTTTCTGTCTCAGCTGTAGCGTTAAGGGAGGTAAATCAACTTCAGTTAATAAATTTGTGAGGGAATATTTAACTTAGTCTTGTTAATATTCTTTACAAATAAAATTTGTATCTGCATTTAGACAAAATTACTTCAAGAGCCAAATGAACCATTTAATTAATCAAATCCTTTACTCCTACGTTTCTGAAATTGCAATATTATTTGTTCAAGACTTTCACGTGAAGCACTCTGATAGCTTTGTCTCTTAAGTGTTCGTCTTTCTTTAAATAGGCTTCGTTCTCGGTCTCTTTCTTGTTCTTGTTGCTAATCTATTTTCTCCCGAGAGATATTTCCATTTGATTATTATATTAAATACAGAAATTTTTTAGCATGAAAACTTACTGAGCAAAAAACGATTTATATAAAACCAGAAGCAATCAATGAATCTGATACCACTGAATGTTTTAAAATATATATATATATATAAGTAACGGTTTAATTAAACGATTCGTTGGCCTCTATTTTAGTTGTGAATTTTTTATCCCCACTTTATTGAAATTCAATACATTGTTTCAAGATTTTTATTTCATTGCATCTCACGATTAATATTTTTTTTAACAATTGCCATCATTTTGACGTCACGATTACACATGTATATACAATAATAATCATTATAATAACGAAACTAACCCACTACGGCTTCCTTAAAATGTTATCTCTTTTTTCCATAATGTCTGGCAGATTTTAACTTTTACGTAACAGCTTCTCCAAAATATTTGACGTCATGCAATAAAGAGGTAAATTGATTCAGTTGAATAGTTTGGTAGGGATTAATTAAGCCACTGATTTATGAAAATTATAAATTTTTAAAGACAGAAAGCCTCTCCAAACATTTGGGCTATAACGTAAAGGTGAGGCAAAAGTCGTGTACCATAAGGATTAATTAATTATGTTTTGAATGTTAAATTTGTTTTAATAGTTCCTGTTGAGTTGACAACGAGGTCGCAAGACCTCATGCCCTTCGACTTTTTTTTTCTGTGGGGCCATTGGAATTCAGTTGTTTATCAGATGTGCCCAAGAGATTTTGAGCAACGTAAAGAAAGAATACGAATGCAGTAAAATGTCAGAGGAAACTCTCCGACGTGTTAATGAATCAAACAGGCACACAATTGAAATGTGTTTTGAAAAGGAAGGAGGACATTTTAAACAACACAATTAAATAACTAATAAATACATTTTTTATGCGTAATTATACTTTTAATAATTTATACCAATGGTTCGCGATTTTTGTCTCACCTTTTATCTACAATGTCTACAGTTCTTGAAGAATGTCATTGTGAGATACTTCAAATAACCTAACGATAATATTTTGGGGACCATTTTTAACGATTATTTAAGGAGCAGACAATTTTCGTTTATTAGCTTCATTCTAACAATTAAGTGTGTGACATTTAATTTACAACACAGTATATAATATCAGAATCCAGAGAATACAGGAAGAATTTATTATCCTGGTGGATATTAAATGTAAAATCTGGAAAGAAACGTAATAGTGAATGAACGAGCACGGACTTAGATCTTTCAATAAGAGTGGAGAATAACGGGTCCATTGGTACACAATCAATGATTAGGTAATGACCGATACCTATTTAGAAATATACCTAAGACACATTTGCATATAGAAAAGCCCAGGAGTGAATACAAAGAAAGGTGATAGTGAATGAACGAGCACGGACTTAGATCTTTCAATAAGAGTGGAGAATAACGGGTCCATTGGTACACAATCAATGATTAGGTAATGACCGATACCTATTTAGAAATATACCTAAGACACATTTGCATATACAAAAGCCCAGGAGTGAATACAAAGAAACAGATAACCAAATAATCAGTAAACATTTTAGAAATACTAATAGCAAATGAAAGTGAGAAGAAAGGATTAAAAATCAATTGCATGAAACAGAAGCTACTTTTGTTAGCAAAAGGAATAGCGCATTAAGCTAAGTACGAATTGGAGACAGCAAATCCAGGCAAATACGAAATATTAAATATTTCGGAAGTGTTTTAACAGGTGATAAATGTGACACTGAAATCCGAAGTACATTTAAATATCAAAAGACTCTTTCCAAAGCGATGCAAATTACAAAGAAGCAGGAAAAATCGTTGGAGACAAAAGGAGATTGTGCTGAACTGTTATGTGATATTCTACCTTCTATACGACAGAAATAATTAGACATTCTTATTACAAGTGCTCGGTGGATAAATGGATAGCGACTCGGATTGAGGAATCGGAGAGCCGTTTTCAAATCCCACTCATATCAATTTTTATTACGTGCTGATACCCTTGGGCAAGGTATGAATCTTCTAACCCCCAGCTATGGGTAATTATCTTTGGATCGCAACTGTTCTACAGCAAAAAGAAATGGCAACATTTTTCCTACTATTGCGGGAAAAATTGCCTTGTATCTTTCGATACATAATTGCCTAAGCGTGTATCACGCATAGAATTTAACTGAATGAATATCGAGGCAGCATAAATGTGGTTCTAAAGAAAGATGGCAGGAGTACTAGAGCGTGTAAGCAGGAAGAAATTGATGACACATTTATATAGAGAATCAGATAGAGTCACATGATGGTAAAACTAAAACTGGCGAATATGAAGGCAAGAGAGGAAAGAACTGAATATCCTAATTAACGAGATCGTGTAAATAGTTGCCAGAAAAAGGTGTAGGGGGCATAACTTACTAAAAAGTACAAAGGGCAGAAATGTTGTGGCGAGCCACGCTTACCACATCTTGGAGGAATACGGCGCTAAGAAGAACATGTCCAAACACCGACTTTGAGAGCGATCGTCTCCTAGTCGTCAATAAACTATGGGTACATACGAAAATTTAAGAAGCCAAAAATAACACCAAATAAACAGACTTTGAAACGACTCAGATGATATATGCTGGTTTAGGTAAATACTGTCATAAATACAGAGAAGAAAACTTTAATGGATCTAGTGTCATTTGTAAAGGAGATCGCCGTAAATCTCAAGTGGGAAAAAATAAGATAAGGCAAAGTGTATGACAAATGAAATTCTGGAAGAAATTAAAGATAATGTCAAGGAATATCAAAGAATATATGAGTTATGTAAAAATGTTTGAAACGAATGAATGTTATAAAATCATCAAGAAGTAAGTAGTAATAGGAACACTCAGAACACAAGCACAGCAGGTATAAAAAGAGAAAAAAAAATGGCTCACTTCAGGAGGATGCATAAAATCTTAAAAGCAAACACTCACAAGAAATAAAATAGAGTAATTCTTCATTTAACGACTTATATATTTAACAATACCCCGAACTTACGAACAGCTATAAAATCTCACAAAATAAAAATGAAACAAATTTAAACTAACAATTTTGTATGGTAAGTTTTACAAAAATTGATATGATTGCTTCGAAAGTAAATCAATTGAAAGCAAATTGAATAAATAACGTGAACAATAAATAAAACTTTCCTAATATTGCACTTACAATATGTAAACTGAATATGTATACAAAAATATACAGAACATAGAAGCTGGTCTACAAATCTGCTGTACTGTGCAAACATTTAAAAATACATTAGAAATGTTACAGATGCTGAAGAATGGATATTAAAGGTATCTGAAACCGGTTGACACAAACCAATTACACGCATAGAATGCCGGAGATACCGGCCAGATACAATTTCTCACTTAGCGGAAAATTCGCCGGAACGGAACAGGGTCGTTGAGTAGTCTGTATACTGAAAATATAGAATGAATGTATCAAAACAGACGAACATAAAAATCCATAAAAACATGGCAGGAACCTGTATTATTAAAATCCGTTGAAAGATCGGAATTGGCCGAGATGAACGGAAACAAACCAACAGTAGCAGATGGAATTATAATAGATAAACTCTCAAAAGCGTCGCCGATCGATAAGCTTAAAGTTTGAATAATGTGTGGAGGTGCGACTAGCATAATAGACTGCAGATCTAAATAAGAAGTTGGAGAGCCGAGTATATATATATATATATATATATATATATATATAGATATATAGATAGATAGAGACACTTAGTTATTTAAAATAAATGTAATTCTGCGTACATTGAAGGCGACATCCTGAGGAGGGAGTCAGTTTCAAGAAAAAAAAAAAAAACACAGACCCCTAGACAGGTTGCCACCAAAGTCTATAGAACTCAATCTGTTCATATATTTTCCTGTTGGGAAGAGAGGAAGGTCTTTCCCAAGGGTAAATGCACGTAAGTGAATGCAAAGGATCCAACTGGAATATGAACTCGGCTCACCGATTCCTCAATCCGAGTATTTATGTATAATTTAGTCCGAGGAATTCATAGAGAATGAAATGCATAACATTATTTCTTTCAATTTTGCCACTGACTTTCCTCATATATATATATATATATATATATATATATATATATATATATATATATATATATATAATTCATACAAAAGTTAATAACTATACACTGAATGGCAAAATACAGGGTTTGAGTTTTGTGTAGCAATCATCAGGTGGAAATATGATTTACTACTCAGGATTGTTATTCTCAGGAGTGTTGTATACGGTATGTGAAAACCTTTAGCCATTCCACTATTTCCTTATATATATATATATATATATATATATATATATATGTGTGTGTGTGTGTGTGTGTGTGTGTGTGTGTGTGTGTGTGTGTGTGGGGGTGTCTGTGCGCGCGCCTGTTGGATATAATATAGACAGATGATTGATGAGGCCATCTATCAAATTATACTGTATTTTCCGAGCCGAGCATTTCACAGATGTCTCGATGTTGCACCTCGAAATAAAGGAATTCACTTTCTTTCAATTTATACTTTGACATTAATATTCACCTCAACATGTATGATCTATAGAGAGACCATGGATCAAGTGCAATGGCATGCAATAAGATTATGTTGTGTAATATAAATGCTTTATCATCATTAGACTAGGAAGCTGTTAACATAGATAGATAGATAGATAGATAGATAGATAGATAGATAGATAGATAGATAGATAGATAGATGCAAGTGATTACAAAATGCAAGAGCAAGGTAGTTCTGAAAAGTTACTACATTCATTTACATAAGATATGTTTATGTCTTAATATTCTTGTTTATATATATATATATATATATATGAAATGCGCTCTGTAGTAATTATGAACAAATATGCACGGGCTTCGTTATAGCCATTTTAAAAATTAACAATTAAGAATAATATGAATATAAAGGAGTTAACTTAATTTATATTTTCTTATTATTAATTTTTTTATATACTCAAAACTGCATTTAAAAAAAAAGATTACATCAGGTCATCCCATAAGTTCTGTCCGAATTTTGAATAAAAAAAGCAAGTGATCAAATGTTACATTTAACTACAGATTCAATCAACAATGTATTTTCCCTGATTATCTATGATTTCCTTCCATCTATTAACAAGCTTACTAATTCTATTACTGTAAAATTCTTTTGGTTTTTATTCGAAGAACTCACAAATGTCAGTTTTAACCTCTTCCTGTGTTACAAAAGCTGTTTCTTCCAAATGATTCTGTAAGCTACGAAACAAATGGTAGTCTGAAGGAGCAAGTTCGGGAGTATGAGGTGGATGAGGAATTTTTCCCAACCAAGTTCTTCGATCTTTTGTAACGTGATTCTTGGTGTTTGGAGTCGCACATTGTCCTGATGAAACATCACCTCTTTTCGATTCACTAGAGCAGGTCTTTTTTTTTTGCTCAATGCTTGGTTCAAACGCTCTAATTCATGACAGTATATTTGAGCATTAATTGGTGCATTAGGTGGTAAAAATTCAAAGTGGATTATTCCTTGGAGATCCCACCAGATTGAAAGAACATTTTGCCCATGGAGTTCCCTTCTCGGCTGTAGATGGGGTACTTCCCCATTACCAAGCCACTGTCTACGACGCTTAACATTTCGATAATAGGTCTATTTTTCGTCGCCAGTCACAAGTCTATCCAAAAAGGGTGAAACAATTTGGAGAGAATGGAGAGAAGAGCAGATGTCAACTCGGGATTTCAGGTTGTTTTCAGACATTTCATGAGGCACCCATTTTCCAAGTTTAGGAACTTTTCCAAGCTGTTGAAGATGACGATGAATAGTTGTATGGTTTGAACTGAGAAACACTGCCAATTCCTCAACTGAGAAAGCAGGATTTTCTTCAAGAGCTGCTTCAAGAAGCTTTTCATCAAACTCAACTGGACGTCCGGTTCGATCTTCATCTTCAAGGGTGAAATCTACACCTCTGAATTTTGCAAACCAACTTCTGAAAGTTCTTTCATTCAAACATTCCCCTCCATAAACTGAGTGAATGTTTCTAGCCGCTTCGGCTGCCGAGTTTCCTTTCTTGAACACCTAAAGTATTATGTGCCTTAAATGATTCTTGGGTACTTCCATGTTTGCAGGGTTTTAATCAAACAAAATGTAATTTTATTGGTCTGTGAAATAAAATTTGATCAGTTTAAATGCATCTAAACATAAAAATAGTGTTCAGCTCCATTAGACATTATAAAATACTCTTTAAATTTCGTTTATTTAAAAAAAGTTAAAATTCGGACAGAACTTATGGGATGACCTGGTATGTTTTTACAATTTGAGTAACGCAAAGCATTGCTTTTGTAGGCATTTTTACACAAAGTTTTAAAACAATGTTTTCCCGACAAAGATTTAAAATGCCAATAAAACCAATATTTTGGGATACTAAAATTATTTTTTTTTTTTACAAAATTGCAGTTTGAGAATTTTTAATTATTAATAAAAATATAAATTGATTTTTCCCCCTTCTATATTCTTTACAGTTAATTTTTACATTGTCGATAACGGAACATATTTCACGTACATTTACACAAAAAATCACAACTATGAATTACATTAATTATTTTGTCTTAGGAATTTAACCCCTGGTGGATGATCTTGGCTGAGATTTAAAGTGGTCGGGAAAATATAAAAATTAACGTAAAATATGGCTTCTTCCTTGTTTAGTTTAATAAACAATATTAAAAAAAATTAAATTTGAAATTAAAAAAAAAAAAAAAATTCTTGACGTAACTTCCAACTTCACGGGCATGTGTAAGTTACTTCAACATAAGCATTATTTCATCCTGACGAAGTCGCGAAAGACGAAACTCGTCACGCTAAAATTCTTTCCACTTTGTCATGTATATTTTCCCTAAAACTCTTCTTGATATATAAAACTTTATACATCGTTTTACATAATATACTCACAAGCACACAGCCGCACACACACAGACGAACAAACTCACACACGCACACACACATAGTTGGATATTTGGCCTTGTATTGGGTATAACGATGATATATATTTTTATAGAGGTTTATATGGATATTTATATATATATATTGGTGTGAAAACCCTAAACAAAATTTATATAAAAAATATATATTTTTTTTTAGACCACACACACTTAGTTTTTGAAAATAAATGTAATTCTACATTGAAGGCAACATCCTGGGGAGCCATCTTTCATGAAATAATCTATCTCCTCATTTGCCATCAAAGTATATTTGTTATCTTTTTATAAAGCGATGGATGTCAGGTCTTTTTTGTTATGTAATTAAATGCGAGCGATCCAACGTGAGTTTCTCTCAATCAAGCTATCCCATAGTATTCTATTCCTTTCTTTATCTCCCTTCATATTTGTATCTGTTTATAAAGCGATGGACGATGGATTTCTCTTTGGACATACGAGGACTGTCACGATTTTATGAGATTACATTCATCATCTATATTCATAACCACGTCTACATTAACCTCTCACCATATTACTAATTGAAATCGCTGCCGCGTCAATGAGATTTCAACGTGGCGATGAAACATTTCACCGCAGACATGGCAACCGTTTAGTATCTTTTAAAGTGCTATATAATTAACATATTTCGCGACTCGGTAATTTTAGTTTGTATAAACAATCATATATTGCTTTTTAGATTCCATAACATAATTCCTATAAGTATATAATTTATATACGTGAGTTTATCTGGTGGTGAGGTAAGGCAGCATTTCCTGTATGTTAGGACAGACATCTGAAATGAGAACCCGATAATTTTATGTCTCTTGAATTATGGCGGGTATAAGTCAACCATCTGTCCTCCTTTACGGCAGCGAATTTTGGACAATCCCCTCAAAGAATCAGAGAAGCTTCGAGGCAACATAGATATGGTTCTACAGAAGGATGTTAAGGATGGCATGGAACGAACATGAGCAACGATGACGCTTTGGTGAGGATGCAAACAAAGAGTAAACTGATAATTAACATCAGGAAGAGGCAGCTGAAAATTCTGAGACACGTAATGAGAAAAGAGGACTTCGAAAATCTGACACTCACAGGTCGAATAGAAGGAAAGAGGGACAAGTGAAATCAATGCGTTCCATACTTAATCGGCCTATGCAAGTAGATGTCAGAACAGGGGCTGAGAGAAATAACAAATGACAAGATTATTGAGATGTACAAAGGACAGGAAGAAGTGGTGGGCAATGACCGCCTACGTTATTTATATGTTGCAACATATAAAAGATGAAGTCAGCCATGACTTTTGAAAAAAAAAAAAGTTTCCTGGATCTAAATGAAGGCCAGAGTGTGCAAGGGTGGAAACGCTGTGAGAAACGACTATAATGAGGAGTAAATAAAAAAGAGTCAGAGTACAATACAAAATATAGATTATACAATTTTATATAATAGAAAAGTTTTGTTAACATGTACTTCTACACAAATGCTAATTTTTGAAATGTATGCCATCTTCAGGTGTCAAGAAATAAGTACATACAAAAGTGTTCGCTTTAGACCATCTCTGTTTACGGAGTCCGTCGACGATCAAGCAAAGTTGAATAGTCCTTTATAAACGCAAATCTTTCACAGACTCTCTATTTATATCTGCTAAGTTTCATATACTAACGTAAAAACGGTTCGTCTAGTCAGATATGGGTATCCACCGACAAAAAGCGTATTTTATTTTCTATTTTTAAATGAATTTATGTAGATTTTTATTTGTGTGTCTATACTTATGTTCTTTTTATTTCATTTTCTAAATACTATCAACACATTTTGTCCAGCTTCAGATTTATTGAGTGTTAGTATTTTCATTTTTTTATTATCAATACATCCAGTTCTGAATTATTTCCACCGTTAAAATGACGGCATAAACAACAAAATGATTTCGACAGGTCTGTATGGCTAGTTTTCTCTACAAGTCCCTAAATATGGGGAGATATATTTGCAAAAACGAAATTAAAATCAGAAAAAAGGATTAGAAACTTCGAAAAATTGTATAAAAACAACAAGGACACTTTTTTTTGTTTTTTTCATCACTTCTAGAGTAACGTAAAATTAATATTCAATTTCATCAAGTAAGTATCTATCTATCTATCTATCTCTCTCTCTCTCTCTATATATATATATATATATATATATATATATATATATATATATATATATATATATATATATTAGGAGGCACGGTGCAATAATGGATTGAGGAATCGGAGAGCCGAGTTCGAATTCCAGTCGAATCCAGTCGAATCCATTACATTCACTTACGTACTAATACCCTTGGGAAAGGTATGAATCCTCTTCATCTCCCTCCAGCTATGGGTAAATTGCAGGACAGACTGGGTTTTATAGCCTTGGATAGCAACTCTTCTAAGAGAAGGAAACTCTAAATTCAAAACCTGCGGAGGGTCGTTTGGGGACCTTGTGGCACGTAGTGCACCAGGTTTCTGTACTCGGCCCTTCAAAATGTGTGAATGGTCCTGCACGAAACCTCCACCATTATAATCAATTCTCACGTGCTGTTGTCGAGCTGTCAGTTTCTTGGGAACTGATCTGCTTGATCCACGTACGTTGGATTCGACGGAAGAGTCGAGCATATATATTAAAACGTACATAAAATTAATTTAAAAAGTTCTCAATACAAAAGGAGAGCAGTAATCATTTATTATAAGTTATTAGATTCGAACATTTAAATTACCACTACAACAAATGCATATTTGTTTCGATTCCCGATTCAGACATCTCATCAGTTGGTGA